ATCCTAAGACCCACAACCTTGACAAAAGTCATTAAAGGGAAGACCCAGTATCATAACATGCCTCCTATTACACAGTGTCCCGTCAGCACAGATACCGTGGTGCTGAGCAGGTTTCGTCTTAGTTGAAGTAGCTGACTAGTTCTTTACTTGTCTAAATTAGACCAAGTCAGCCTAGAAATCTGACATTGAGGTTCGTCAGCCCAGTATTGCTTGGCTATGGTCAGATATTTTTGTTTAATTGCCAATTTAACTGTAGCAAGTGGAACGCCTATATCCGAGAAGTTAATATTAGGGAGAAGAGCGCCTACCTTGGCGAGGTCGTCGGACAATAGTAGTAGTAGTATTAAAGTTTTTTTTATTTTTTTTTTTTGTGTTACTAATTAATATTTGGGAATTAACTGTGATAACAGTACCGAATATATTATATTAAAATAAGTGCTTAGATTTGAAAATTATTGCAAACACCTTAACCTTCGAACAATGACAGGGCCGAAATTTTTTAAAAGGAGGGAAGCACTTTATATTGGTTTATATATAAAAAATATCCGCGGGGTTTGGTGTATTTTTCAGTAAAAATATTGTTTATTAAAAATTTTTTTAATAAAGTTTTTGTTGGCCGTTATTATATTTGACTTCTTACTAATTTACGGGTAGCTGCATAATTCCATCCGTGGTTAACTTCTGTGGTTATCGGCATAAAACTTGGAACAGTAAATTTCAGCGGCACTTCAGTTGATTAATTTTTTACCATTAAGAGAGTTTGCAAAGACGAGAAGAAATGGTAGTCAGTAAAGTAGTAATGGTAGTTGTAAGGTCCGGAGTATATGGTAGATGTGTCAAAACTTCAAAACCAAGTTTATTCAATTTGTTACCACTCAACAAAAGTGTATGTGTCCTAGCATAATCACGATTCATTTTCAGTTGACCAATTCTGATCGCTTTTCTTTCGGTTAAGAGGTCGAGTTGTGAACAGTAGAGTACAAATTAACTTTAGAACCAGACTGAAGCAACTCGTTATAGACAAATCTCTTCCAATACCAACAAGTATTCAACAACTGCCATCAAACCAAGCTTTAAAATTGTTTTTGGAGTGTCGACGGTTTGCGGTTGCATTGGATATTATCGCTTCAAAAAGTAAACAATACCATCAACACTTAAAGGCTGGAAAACACTCATACACGCACATACTATAGACACTTCATAACGTTGCGATCTGGACGCTTTTTTAAACAAGCAGTATACCTTCTGCTTAAAAAGTATCCGGATTTTGTTGTTTGTTAACTACTATTTAAGTAATAGACCTTTTTCAACAAATTTTTTGTTATGTTGGTACACCCTTTCTTGACATATGGTACAAATTTGAGCGTCATCTGTCAATTAGTTTGTTTACAGCAGGTGTTAATGTGAGACTACCTGAAGTGCATTTAGCGATTTTTACTGTGGAAAATTCTTGTTGTACGCGATTTTTGGACCAAAAACGGCACCACTGTCATCGCTCAGGCACCATATTCACCAGATCTAGATCCGTGCGAATTTTTCCTGTTCCCGAAACTCAAATTGCCCCTTCGTGGTAAGCGTTTTGAGTCGATTTAATCGGTAAAGAGAATTCGCTGAAAGAACTAAAAGCCATACCTTCACGAGCCTACGAAAAGTGTATGGAAGATTGGGTTAAGCGTTGACATATGTGTATCACTTCAGAAGGAGCATATTTTGAAGGAGATAAAATAAATTTGGAATAAAATTTAAATTTGTGTGTTTTATTTACAAAATCCGAGTTCTTTTTGAGCAGAAGGTATACTATGTTTAGTCGGAAACAAGTATAAAAATAGAGAAATGATGCATTAAAAAAAATTTATAGTGCATATTGTTAAGGGAACATAAAGAATAATTCAAACGAATTACAGAATCAACAGCGCAGTTAATATTTATATTCAGATTGTTCAAAGTATTAGCTAACATAAAAAATATTCGCTATTTTTTCCATTAAAACAGTCGATGAAATTTTGCAACTGGTGAAGCAAGACCAATATACAAGCTGTTAGGATATAGCGGAGGAACTAAATATCAACCGCTTGGTAGTTTGCAATCATTTAAAAAGAGCGGACTGTGCAAAGACGGTACCATTCCATTGATACTATATGAATTAACGTAAAGAAATTTGATTGACTGAACACCATCACTAAAACGCCATTGAAATGAAACGAAATTTTATAAAGCTATTCGTAATGAGCAATATTAGCTCTATTAAAATTGCTTTTGAATTAAGAAAATTTTATTACCCTGCAACGGGTTTCGCCCTAATGCAACAAGTCTTTCCATCCGCCTCTACTACGTTCACGCCTTCTAGAGCATCGTACATCAAGTGTGGTTAGTGCTTCCTTAATTTTATCACTCTACTGAAACCATGATCTGCTTCTTTTTCTTTTTTCACCTACCGCTTCAAATACCTTTTTCGCTGGTGCATCTTAAACCATTTTTACGACGTGACCAAGCCAGCAAATCAACTGGATGTTAATTCTGTGAATTATATCAACATCGTGATAAAGTTTCTATAGCATGTCGGTTATTCGGATATGGTAGTCGTCACTTCAATGCTGTTTCATCATTTTTTGATAACATTCATGCTGCTGTGCCATTCAGAAGGACGAGTTAGATGACAGCTCCTAAGCATATAGGAGCTGTCTGATTTCTAAGCTCGCATTGTTATTGTATATTATGGTGGTGCCAAGGTAGATAAAATTCTTGACAGATTCGAAAATATATTCGCCAAGCACCAGTGCGGCGTCCGAGCAACACACATTCATGCCTGTAGCCTATTTTCAGAATTTAAGTTTTCAAGTTTAGATGTATGAACTACACTTAAATAGATTAAATACATTGTCGTTATTTCAAGCATCATCCTGATTGTTACATGAGTTTTTGATAATATTCCCGAAATAATAATAATTGTGATTTTTCCACGATTTCTTCGAACTAAAATTCCAAAGAAATTGTAGTCTAAAATTCTTCGGACTTTATAACGAAGATACAATTCTATTTTCGAAGATTTCAAAGGAAGAAGCAAAAAGATTGTCATTTACCTTAAAAATTATTCAGACTTTATTTTTCAATTTATTATGGAACATTGAGTCAGTTATTATTAAATATTAAAAGTTTAAAAAGCCCAACAGTCGGTACTGCGGCCAGAAGAGTCCTATTGTACCAATTTCTCTATTGATTACACAAAGCCCCTTAAAGCTTTGTAAACAAAGTCCTGAACTAAATCTAGAGAAGAGTTCTTAATCTGTTCTGGTGACAGAAATTCCATATGAAATAAGTTTCTTCTGTGCGTTATTATAGCAGAACAGTCACAAAGAATAGTCAGTTAGATCTAATGCTATTCTTGCCATAGAGCACTTGAATTTTGATTAAAGTCTTAATATTAAACTGAATAATATTAGTGTAAAAAAATTAAGTTGTATTTGCTAATTTTTGTTAGTAAAAATAGTTGAACGATTTTAACCGATTATCCGAGTACAACACAATAATAAAATTCGCTATTCTATATTTCATACATTTAAATATTTTACCAATCTAAGCAATGTACAAATGTATGTACGTAGATATGTATTTCCATCTATACTTTAAAATTGTTTGAGTGTTTTTTTTTTGCAAATCAAATCATATCAAATCACATGGAAAATATTTCCTTTGCAAACAAAGCCATCAAAAATTTTGTGTTAAAATGTAATAAAATTGTTGACACGTTTTTCGCCTACAAAATTTGCTGCTTTCCTGCTATTTTAACTTGTTTGACGGTTTTACGAGTGACAAATTTTTGACAGTTTAATAGTAGTTAATAAAATTCTACAAAGCGCCCAAGTGCCGCCCTAACACCAGGCACTGTTAAGGGGCATTTCAAACGAGCATTCAAACGAATAGAGAATGCTGTGAGCAAGGAAACGAGAAATGTTTGTAAATAAAATTTTCTGCTCGCCTGTTAATAAAAAAATTTTATTGATTGTATGTGGCACTGAAAAACACGAGCCCAAACAAGCCAAGACAAGCAAACAAGTAATTTGATGATGATATTTACATCCTAATGGTATGCAAAGTTAAACAAAAAGGAATTCCAAATAAAAAACACTCAAGCATAAAAGGATGGAAACAGAATTACTCCATGTTACGCACGCATTTCTCTCCTCCATGCTTTTTACACATTTTGGGGTTGTTTTCAACGTGCAAAAGAATTGTACAAATGAATGTGCGTAACTTGAAAGGCTTTTAACTACCCAGTAGAAGAAATAACCCAGTAGCAAAAATAAGGAGTACAAAGGTCTTTAAAACGGCATTAATTAGCTCTTACACACTTGTATTTTTTACTATCGCTTTTTTATTCCTGTTGAACCAAAACTACTCAGCGAGAAAGTAATGTCTTTTAGGCTTTTAGGGTTTAGGCATTTAACCCATTACGTACCAATCAATTTCAGACTTGAAATTTTACGGTGAAATTTCTATAGTAAATAGTAAAATAAAACAAGTTCAAGTAAATAAGAAAGGTTAAATATTTATTTTTGAAAGATTACTCTCACTTTATCTTAACCTAAAATATATAAAATATTCTTTGAATATTAAAAAACATTCAAAACTAGCCGTATGGTGCACCACACAGTAGTCCGAAATGGGTTAAAGAAGGCATGTGATAAGGATTACTAAAATGCTTAAACCAAAGGCCTTGTCTGCTTGCTGCGCAGAGAAAACACCTTAAGGATAATTAAAAAACATGTATTTGTAATTATTTGCAATTATTTATATTTTTTAAAAGTCCAATATATATTATATTATAATAAAATTTATTTTAATTGAAATTATTAACATTATCATACCATAAATTGAATTATTTTTAAATTTTTTAAAGTTACAAAATTATATGTAACTATATCTTAAATTTATTTAACTTAAATTTATTAACATTGTCATGAATTGAATTATTTTTACATTTTTGAATTAACAAACTGTACCTATGTTAGTTTTTTCTTTGTTTTTTTACTGAAAAAAGTCTCTCTATAATATCTATTTTTTGCCACCTTGAAGCCCTTTTTTATTTCATTAATATAATTTTCTTTAGTTAAGACTTCACTACCTACAGCTTCTGTAATATAATGCAATATTAGATAATATACATATTTATATTATAATTTAAACAAAAATACTAACTGTAAAAAATATTATTGATGTGAGTGTACACCTTAAAAGCCTCTTTTGTCTGTATACCATCATAATTGTAATTAGTGATAATTTCTTTACCAAGAATGCTATGCAAATTTTTTGCAAACCCACCCTTCGAAATTATTTTTTGGACATTTGAAATCTATAGATAAGGAAAGAAATATGAGTAATTAATTAGTCAGACATATATAAAATATCTTACCAAAGTGGCTTCATCATAAGATCCAATATTTTTCTCGAAGTCATTTAAAGCTTTCTTATTCAAAATGGGAAATATTTCGAGAAATGGTTTGCTATCCTGATCCCGATTTACTAAAGCTTTAATGTCAGCGAGTTCCCTTACAATGATTTCATTTTGTCTCACTACAATTTCCTTGAGGTTTGCAATTTGATTCTCCAAATCTGTGTAAAAATATTATTATTATTAATAAAAAATCAATTGGTAACTTAGAAAAATACATACTTGCAATTCTTTCTTCTGCATAAACATAGAACATTATTCTCTGAAAAGTATCTAAACTTTCTGCCATATTTAATTAACTACAATTATAGAGAATTGGAATCAATATATTAGAATTTTAAGAACGAAATGCTATTAGTTTAAAAGCTATTTCAGAAATATTAAAAATTTCTTCTTCTTGATTTTATAGTTTTGCTATAATACTACTATTATTGTTTACTTCCCCCATTGGGGCATAGGGCCTTAATTATTTTTATAAATTTGAGTCTATTTGATGATTCTATGCAAAAGTCGTTCCATGTCTATCTAGCTCACTTTGAACCGTTCTTCTCCATTTTTTCGCTGGCACATGAGGTCTTGTGCTATGTATGCTCCCAATTGTTGTGAGTTTATTGAAGAAGTAAACAAATTTTCGTAATTTTGAAATCTCACACCATTTATTAATTTATCATCTATAATCTTTGTAACTTTTAAGTAAATAGCCTTTAGTACCACAGCCTTCATTTATTTATATATGAATTTAAAATATATTCCTAATGTACTAAATTTTCGGATATAGCGTTATCTAATATAATATCGTCAGAAGTATTTATACGAGTGATGCATTTACTTGTTCTGAACATTCTGTACCCTCTATCAGTTCCTTTATCAAATTTTTCTTTTGAAGATACTTCTACTACTTTTTTATTTGTTACTGGGCTTAGGTCGTTTATTTAACACATTAATTTAAATTTAAAAAATTAAAAATTTTATTGTTTCTTGAATTTATGTTTTTGCTTTTGTTAAATATGTCAAGCACTGAAAGAGACAACAATATTTGTCATTTTTGGTTTTTTGTTTTGGATATAGGTTTATTTAAATGTATTTAAATATGTAATTTCTTTTCTTTGTTTATTATTATTATATACTGAAGATGGTCTACGAAGTAGACCGAAATATTTGTAAAATAAATAATTTTGTATAAAAACTAAAATATAACTATAAGTTTAAAAAATGCGATTTTTTATTTTAGTTTAATAAACATTTTTATAAATTTATATGTTAAATAAACGACCTAACTCCAGTAACAAATAAAAAACTAATTGAATATTGGTCGTAATAACAATTTTCTAATATAAATATACTTACAATTGTTTTTATTTTAGTTTGTGTTTTTTTCCAATGGATTTATATTTAGTTTATATTCTTTTGTTATTAGTTTTTATTTACACTATTTATAATATATTTCATTAATTTTACATTCACTCGCGATCAACTTCTCTCTAACTCAGGCACGCACGAACTATTTTTGTTAAAATTTTGCAACTTGCATTAACTAAACTTAACGAAGAAGCGACAATTGTCCAGACAATAACAAAATAAAGAGAAGATACAAAACATAAAAAGTACAGTTGAACTCAAAAACAAAACATGCTTTGAATGCTACCTGTGTGTACTCTTTCTCAGTAAAGGCCTTTTTAAAGTACTTTAACGAAAGGCCTGCAAATTTTATTTAACCTTCTTAAGCAGGTATCCACGGTTTTTTGTCGGCTTACACGCAAATTTCTCTCTATTTTAAAAGATGTTGTTTTTTTTTTTTGCTAAAGTGTGTTCCAAATAATCTTGGCTGTGTCGTCATACCAAATACGATGTTAAATACTTTTAATGCTTTCAAAAGGCCTTTTTTGACAAGGGCTTTAGTATTCTTCCAGCGGCAGAGTATTCTCTCTGCGCAGTCAGAAGGTAAGACCTTTGTTTTAAGCATTTCAAAAGGCCTTATCACATGCCTATTTTACAATGTGTGCTGGAGTGCTTTTTAAAGGCCTTTCCTACCCAGCGAGAAGATAAGGCCTTTGTTTTTTCACAATATATGGTGCAGTGTTTTTTTTAAAGACCTTTTCTACCCAGCGAGAAAGTAAGGCGTTTGCTTTAAGCATATCCAAAAGCCTTATTACATGGCTATTTTACAATTTGTACTGCAGTGCTTTTAAAAGACCTTTTCTACCCAGCGAGAAGGTCTTTAATTTTGGTTCAACATAAACAAAACAGCGATAGAAAAAAATACAAGTGTGTAAGACGCATTTACTGCAGAGAAAAAGCTTTTTAAAGGCTCTTGTACTACTTATTTCTGCTACTGGGCATGTTCATGTAAGCGAATGAATGTATTGTGTACAAATATATTTGGTTGAACCATCATTTATTTATTTGTGTACACAATATTTTTAAAGGCGCATAAGGACATTAAATTGTTTACTGTTATTGCCTTGACGTAAATATATTTACTTTTAACATTTCCTCCTTGTTATTGTATCGGCAAGAAATATGCTTACTTCAATCTGGGCTCCTGTTGGAAACTTGTTTTTGTTTATATGATTGTTGTTACGTGCAAAAAATTTTTTCCTCTTACGTTTTATGTTACGTTACGTTTTTATATAAATATTGTTTTTATTTTCAGTAGACAAACACAAAAACATAATCATTATTATAATTATTATTTATTTGATATAAAGCCATCCAAGCGAAGCAAGCATTCACTTAACTTAATAACAAATGAGATAGAGATAGATAAAAGTAATGAAGCTCTCGAAAATTGGAGTAAAATCAATAAACATGGATTTGTTTTGAGCACTTTTCTAATAGGTAAGCATAATATTTAGTCGGTAGACTTTGAATATAATTTTGAGCTTTGTTTGTCAGGGTAAAGTTCAAATATCGTAGTACATATTACTCGTAGTACATTTTAAAACGACAAACTTTTTGCATTTTAAATCGAGCGCTAAAAAAATATAAGATAAAAAAAATTATATATGAAATTTATTTTTACTAAAGTTACATATTTAAAATATGTATTTTTATATTAAATATTATTTAAAATTTATTTAATAAATCAGCACAAAATTATCAAATTAGCAGCACAACCAATAAAAAAGAGTTTGCAGTAAAAATTTCATTACTTTTGTTAACCTTGCAACCCTGTTTTTGTTTTTGTTTTTCGGTTTTAACTGAAAATTTTTTATTATAAATTTTTGCTTGTTTGTATTTGTTTACTTTATTTTAACATAAACATTTTGTGTAATCTTAGATGAACATTATTTTATGTCGTTAACAGCCCATAAAAGTGTCAGCATAATGGCGCTCGTAAAACCATCAAAACAGCTAAAACACCAGGCGCAGAGCAAAATTCGTAAGCCAACTTGGCTTCATAACACAAAACCAAGAAAAATTCTGTTGCTCGTTCACTTAAAACGTACAATGGAGAACAATGGAGAAACGTACAATACCAGAGCTAAACACTTGAAGGCTGTTTCGAAGTAATAAACTTACATTTTACTGCTTTGATGAAACAAATTGCTTAATAGATTTTACAAGTAGTCTCTACATTTCTACCATTTCACAGTAACTGAAATTAAATTTGATTTGTACATATGTATGTATATGAATTTTATATATTCAATTTATATACAATAATTATTTTAAATTTAAGCCAGCTCAGTTGAAACATAAAACCATAAAATGTTAAGAGTTTAATTATGTAGAGATTAAGTTATTAGATTCTGTTACCAATAATTTTTATTACTGGCTATTACTGGTAAATACTGGCTAATATAAACACTGACTGGCTTATACTCTATTGCATGGCTGTTTAGACCAGATACGATCGCGGGCCAGTACAAATCAGTGTAAAGATTGGAGGGACGCAAAAATAAATACATACGTTCCCCTTGTTTTACGACAAAAATAAAAATACTTTTATAATGTTTAATTTAGTTTTATTAATTTAAATTCATTTATTTGGTACAACATAAAAATAAAATAATGTAGCTCTATAGCAAATATTTTGTCTTTCATTCGAAGAGCTAAGTAACTTTTGTTCGTTTAGGGTCAGTTTATAGCTCAAGACTAACCCTAGACATGTACGCAATACGCGTCAGTACTCTATTAATTTATATTCTAATGTATGTTTCATTACTTCAATACTATGTATTAGATAAATTATATTATGTTATGTATCTATTGTATCTGAAGGTCTTATTCTACTTTATTTGTGAATTCGATTTCGAATATAGGCGAAATGTAGTATTTTACACTACATTTAATTAAAATGTCTTACAATTTCATGATGTAGTAATCTATCTTTTGCTGTCTTTAACAATGTTCCAATGTTATTTATACCACTCCAGTGGCTTCTGTGTCTGAGCCAGGACAATAACTTTCTGCAATATCAAGTCTTCCTGCTATTTTTCCTTGTAGCAGTAGTTATATAGATGCTCTTTACTGTTTCTTACAATATGGCCTTAATATGCACTTTTTCTGTTCTTTATACTGGTGAAAGGTTCCCGGTTCGTCGAAGTTGTTCGAGATTTATTACTTTGTCTATCCAAGGTATTTTAAGGACTCTGCGATATATTCACATTTCGAAAACTTCTAATTTGTTTATATCACTAGTTTCAATAGTCCATATCTCCATAGTGTGTAGTAAGACAAACACATTTATCAAACTTTCAATTTAATATAATAAATTTTTTTTTATTATATTTAAACAAACAGCAAAGTTGAAATTAACAACAACTAGTCACATTGACTAACAGGAGGTTCTTTCATCTTTAATAAAATTAATAATAAATAATTAATAACTTAATAATAACTTAAATAATAATTAATAAGTTAGCAACCATGACTTTATCAATAAATAATCAAGTCATGGTTGCTAAGTACTTTTCTATACTTGTAACATAGAATGCTGCTCTTGAAGTTTCTATTTAGGCTCTTTTTTCTTTGAAAGGATCCCAGCCTTCATTAAACCAACAGCCTAAGTATTTGAAATACTTAAACCAATCGAATAAAACAGTTTCTTGAAAAAAAAAGATAAAACTTATTATATATTTCAATTATTTATGGTTGTATTTCAAACCCAAAAACCACGCCATAAATAACTGTGGTATACATTTACCATTAGAAAACTTAGGATACAAGAAGATAATCCTCATATCAGATAGCCAGTCAGCCAGTCATTAAAACTTTTGACTTAATCTTGACAAATTCTGCATAGATTTGGCAGTCAGTCAATGTCTTTCACAACTTGAGAGTTAAGAATCAAGTGATAGATACCTGCACACAGCGGTTTTAATGGCAATGAAGTGGCGGACGTATGTGCTATGAAAACTTTCTCATATGAACCAGAGCCAATTTTTTGGAATCAGCAATAATCAGTTTATAAGTCTAATTAAATCAGACTTCATCGATATATCTAACCACAAGTTGTGTATCTGGAAACGTTCTTCCCGTAATAAATTCTTCTTCCCGAACTACTCAGAGAAGAAGAGCATATATCTTCTAAATTTGATCAAATCAAAAAATGCGTGATAAATGTGTCACTGCTTTCTATATATGGAAAAGGTGCGGTTAGTATTTCCGACAACCGAGAACATGTCTTACATACAAACTATGTATGCTCTTATACAATTATAGGAGAAGAAGTCCCACAAAGAATTAATCCACAAATCAGAGTAGTTAAACATCGATCTGAAAAAAATTAATACTTTTCTAGATACAGCTAAAGTAAAAGAATCCTTTAATAATTACGGAAAGGTCAGATTATAATAGTTCGAGCCCATCAAATCGTTATAAATAGATAAATATTTTTACCTATTCTTTACTCTTTTATCCTCAATTTCTCACCTTCTCTTATTTATCCCCGAAAAATACTCGAGAAGAGTAGTACAGAGTAAAAATATTTATCTATTCATTCAACATTAGCACTCGATGAAATGAAACCCAAAACATACTAATCCACCCGATAAAGTCAGACAATAGAAGTTAACAACAAAAGAAGTCAGCAAAAGTTATGGTTGTGATTCCTCTAAAGACTAGACTAGACTAGATGGTAACTGCTGAATGGTATACTAAAATGAGCTAACTACTAGTTTTCGAATTTTCGAAGATTATTTTGCTGGCTTACATTGCTGAAAAACAAACAACTTCATTGCGCTCTCATGGGTTGAAAAAATGCATCCAGTATCATTCCGCCGGACATGGAGACGTATGATTGTTGATTGTATAAAAAATGTATAAAAATAATATTAAAACAAATAAAAAATTACAAAGATTTAAGTTATGAAATTAAAATTTTAATAATTTTTTGCCTTCTAAACGAACTTTTGTTAGCTCCCTCGTATATAGTAATTACCATTAGAGATGATGTGCAAATATTTTTCTTTTTTTTTTATTTAACTTTAACTCAATAGTGTCTGAGACTACTTGGGTAATCCACTGTAATAAGAGTACCGTTAAATTATGATAATATTATATCCAACAAGATTTGCCTACTTTTGAGTAAATTATAAATAAATACTCGTTAGTTACTGAAACTTTTTAAGAATAAAAATTAATTCTTAATTTTTAATACCATATTTGAAAGTAACTAGTTAAGCAACATACTTAAATCGTTGTATAAAAAATTAACTTTTATATAAAATTTTGTTAGTATTATCTAAACTTTAATAACATTTCAAATATTCACTACTCTTACTTACTGATTTCTTTGTTGTGTGCTATAACTTACTCTATCGGTAAATAGTATCATTAAAAAATTGTCCATAATTTGCTTATAATGTTAATCTCTTTTGTATTCAAATTGGTTTCAAAACCGTGAGTTCTTATAACGGAACACGATAATGAACTAATAAGCCTAATAATAAAGCCGTAAATAATATAGCAAGGCAAGCACTGCGATGGAACCCACAAGATAATCGGCGACCCGGCGCACCAGCTAGAACATGACGGAGAACAATTGAAAAAGAATTAAAAGATGCCAGATTTATTTGGAATGATGTCACAAAAACAGCTCTTAATAGAAGACAATTTAAATCGATGATGGAGGCTATATAGTTCAGAAGGAGTTCAGGAAATTAGTGGTAGTAGTAGTGATAGTAAGCCTAATTGGATCCCTTGAATCGCCAGTGTAGCCTACTTTATACGAATCTGTTTTGTGCTCAAGTTTTCCTATCCATCATTTGTATCGTACTTTACGTCTATGGTTTATTAATCCCACATACTTCAATTTTATACAAGCGATTGTAACTAAAAATTGCTTTAAATGGCAATAAAAATAATTTCTGATACTTCCACATTAAAACAGAGTTATAATTAACAAATACGTAACAAATGTATTCTACGATTTAACCTGTTATGTTATCTGTATTATACTTCAAGACTGTCCGATCCAACTACCTGTAGCCAATCATCTAAATAAACGACAAAACAGAGCACACATCACCTCTCTGCACAGAGTTCCAAAAAAACCATACATATTCTATTTGAGTTACAGCCATAACACCGAAGACTGGGCCTTGAGATAAGTTTATTAATTAATATATATGATTCAATTAATTAAAATAATATAAAAAGAATTTTTGTTGTTGTAGTTCACTATTTCACTATCACTATTCACTATCGAAACTATTCCCATGAATTCACAAAACAGGATTCAAAAAACAAAATTTAATAGAAATTATGTTTGATCATTAATCTAGTTGTCTAAATTTATTTTTAAATACGATTTTACTTTCTTACCATCTTTTTGTATATATTTCTAATGTACACTATTATTCTAAGATATAATGGTACGGTGATTTAAACTGATCACAAACAAATAAATAAATCCAAATAAATAAATCAAATAAATAAATGTTTTTTGAAACAAGCAATTGGATAATATATTAAGTAAAACGCAACCAATCAAACTATAGAAAAAACATATATACACCTTGTGTTATATTCTTATAAAAAAGATAACCTAATCATTATTTTATCATAGGTTACAGCACCACTACACAATGTCTTAATGTCAGATCCTTTTCTCAAACTTTATTCCAGCACCAACCACAAGGTATGAACTTACGCCTACAGTTTACTTCTCGAAGTCCACTCGTCAATTTTGACGACTAAGTGCCGTTCACCAATCCCCAAAGCGACTACAATAAATCCCCGCGTACTACTACAACAACAACAACATGCAAAAATTTCTTAAAGTTCGCCTATGAAATTTTTTAAGGTTCAACAAGTACAGATTAAGTTGTTGACCGATTCCTCAAATTCTTCTAAACTATACTGTTTATATATTACACAATTTACTTTTCTTAAATTTCTATATTTCTTGTGAATATATAAAAAAAATATAATTTAAAATGTTTACATATTAATTTGTCTATAAAGAAATTTAAATTCCATTTTAGAGTTGTTATTGCAAGGTTTTACTTAGAACGTAATTATTTTTTTAACAATAATGAGCTCAAAATCTAACAAGTAATTATATGGAAATTTAATTAAACAGACATAAATATTAACAAAACACCACTTGAATTGAATTTGCTATTGTAATGATTTATTATAATAAAAAATTGGTATTTTATGTTTATGCACGACCATTCATTGGCTATTTAAAAAATAATGAAACATCTATCGAATACATATTTTGTTATAAAAGTGGATAATAAAACGTGTTAACTCGATGTTGCTAATATTTGATTTTCGATAAATCGATTACAGAGACTCACGATTTTGAAACTAATATATGTACGGTTGGCGAATCTATAACATATTGTAAACCTAAGTAAAATTACACAAAACTTTAGCTTTATAAAATAGCTAAAAATATTTACACACTCATTTCCCTCCGAAGCCACCCATTAGATTTCCTAAACCACCTAGACCACCAGCTGCACCTTGCTGTAATTGACGCATCATATTTTGTAGACCACCAACTCCACCCATTTGCTGCAACATACGTGGATCGATCATTTTGGCCATTTGTTGATTTAATTTTGCCATTTGTGTGGGATTAACATTTTTGGTCATATCACCTTGTTTAAAGAGTCCTTTCACGCCGCCCATTTTCTTAACAACTGTCGCGAATTTTGTGTAATGGGAAATCAATTCTTTTACTTCTCGCTCAATTACACCAGATCCTTGCGCTACACGCACTATTCTTGTGGGTTGTTTACTGAAAAGTTTTGCACCATCCCTGTTATCCAATTCACTGTCTGCCATACTGTCCATTATAGTCATCATACGTTTGATACGCGCCATCGACTCTTGTTCACCGCCTTTTGTCATAAAATCTTGTGAGAAACCAGGAATCATGCCCATTATTTGTGAAAATGGTCCCATTTTCATTATATTTTGAAATTGTTCATACATATCTCGTATTGTGAATTGACCATGTTTAATTTTCTCCAACAGCTCTTCATTACCATCCAGTTTTAATTCGTTAACCTAATATAAAAATAGAATAGATTTGCATAAAATGAAAATATACTTGTCTAACTTACTTTATCAATAAGTCCTTCAATGTCACCCATACCAAGCAGTTTACTGACAAAAGGTTTTGTTTTGAAAGGTTCCAAGTCGTCTATATGTTCACCAGTACCAATAAAAATGATAGGAGAGTTTGTAGCTGCTACAGCAGATAAAGCACCACCACCTTTAGCATGTCCATCCAATTTTGTTATAATCACGGAACCAATATCAACTTTATCTTTAAAGGCTTTTGCTTGAGACTCGCAAGCCTGTCCAATTGTAGCATCCATTACGAATATAATATTGTCGGGACTAACAGCATTAGCGACAGCCAACATTTCCTCGAATAAAGATTCTTCCTGTTTGTGTCGTCCAGAAGTATCAACAATAATCATTTCGAATCCTTCACGTTTGAACATATCTACACCTTCTTGTGCAATGACAACTGGATCGATTTCAGTATAACTACCATAAAATGGTATACGGGCTTTAGTCGCATTCTGTTTGATTTGATCATAGGCACCTGCACGGAATGTATCAGCACAGACAAGGCACGATTTCCAATTGCGTTTCTGGTAGTGATAGGCTAGCTTGGTACATGTGGTTGTTTTTCCTGACCCTTGCAAACCAACAAACATAATAACATTTGGTCGGCCCTTAACAGGTTGATAAGGTTTAACACCTGGATCTACCAATTTAATTAATTCCTTGAACACAGCAGACTGAATCATACGACGCTTGTTAAGACCACCAGCCATTTCATCAAAATCTATAACCGCACGCACATTCTCTCGCAACTGTTTTACCAAACGAATATTTACATCAGCTTCCAGCAGAGCTGCGCATATCTCCTTCAGCATAGCATTGAGTGCGTCTTCGTTTATTACAGTCGCCTTACTTAGTGACTGAAGTGCAGTCGTTATTTTCCGTCCCAAGTCCGCTAAAACCATTTTGAATTAATTCCACCCTTACGACCTCAACTTTAAAAAATATATATTGTTTTCGTTAAATAAAAACAACTATTATCAGTCAGTCGGAGCTACTTTTACTTTTGCTGACACGTATTGTGCACTTTATTCTAAAATGTCATATTTCGACAATGTGTGGAAAGTGTTCGGAAAGCACAGATGTGGAAGTGGGCAAAATTATTAATTTTCAAACATATTTCATAAATTTGTTTGTTATCGGAACGACTTTTTAAAATTGCTTAAAATTTTGATATTACGCCAAAAAATTATAATTATAAAAAAAAATATAAATTATAATTAAGTAAAATAAGACATATATGTTGCTGTAGTGAAGCCTTAGCAACATATTAATTTTATTTTAAATTTTGACACATTAAAAATTTTTCAAGAGATGGAATTGCTTTCTAGTTATCTAATAGCACATTCACACTGTCTCATTAAGGCAGGTTTACTTATTATAGCCACTAATCAGGATGACTTACCACACAAATTGCTTTCACATAAATGAGCTCATAAATGATCATTTAAGACGAAAAATATCGAATGCAACCCTTTAAAATAAATTTCCCAAAGGGGAAATTACCAAAATTTGAAATATGTGTCATATGTTTTATATGCAAAATTTAAACAAACAATAGCTGAGCTGTAAAAAAAGATAAATAGTATTAGTATTATAAATAGTACTTAAATAGTAAGTATTTAATAAAATCTTTGTTTTTATTAATTGCATATACAATTGATGTATGAAATGTATGTAAATGATTTAATATCAATTATATATTTCATTTTTTTTGTGTGCTTTATTAACAGTATTTTTTCCTTTTAAAGTTGTAAAAAAACAGCATTAAGTTTGGCTGAAACAAATTAGCATCACTTTTGAAATATGTTAAATACTTATTTTTGACATATCTTCTTTGTTGTGTTGTGTACAGTATGAAATATAAAAATTGTAAACACTCAAAATTCATTAATTGAAATGAAACAAAATAAATAATAGAAGGGCAATGATAAACATTTTTTTATCTTATTGTTATCTTATTCATATAATGCAATTTGTTATTATTTCTGCCATATGATTTTAACAGATGACTGAATGAATGAATATCCACAATAAATTGATTTTTGAATTTAGCTGCACTGAAACTTAAGTTTTAAAATTTTTTGCAAGTAAAATCTAACTCTGAAGATTTTAAGAGCATTGTTGTTACTTCACATGTTTTCTTTCGTAAATTTTAATAATTTTTTTGCTACTCTAAAAGAAAAAATTACGGCTTTTATTAAGTGAAGTTTATAAAAGTTCTATCAGCTGCATAAATGAGCTTATTATAATATAAACGTTCACTCATTATAATATAATATTTACATATTATAATATGAAGAAGCATGTGCCCAAATGAAATAGTGTGAATGTATTATAAAGTGGATAAACTTAATAAAATTTTGGGATCGAATCCAGTTACATATTATTTTTTAAATGCATCTGGAAATAAAAATTAGTATGTGTGAGTGAAAAAAGGGAAGCGTTTGCAGGAATCTTGCCAATATAAACGCAAAATATATCAAAACGATCAAAAATTAATACATTTGTGTTAAAAAACACAATCTGTGGATTTACTATGTATTTTTTGAGAGTTTTTATGTTAGCAAAATGGATGAGTTCTTCGCTAAGCAACTACTAGAAATGTTCAAAGTAGAAGTATTAATTCAAATATTTAAATTTGTTTTTAAAAATAAAATATTTAATTAAAAAATGTATTAAAAATAATAAACTATCGCAATTAACAAATTTATGCTATTGACTCGATACTCGAATACTCACGAAATCTATAGCCAGGTGTGACTACAAACACGACAGCTAAAATTATAAACAAAACTCTCGTGTGAATTTAGTATTAAATTGTATTAAAAACATGTGATTATCTTGATGTTAGGAAAATTATCTTTTTTATAAAATAACAAGACGTAAATTAAACATATGCTGCCTTGGATAACGGTTTTCCTTTGCATATATCGCTGAAACATAACTGTTAACTCGTCCTAATTAAGTTTTAAAAAAATTATTTTTTCTAAGCATCTTTCATAACCTGTTAGAATCCCGTACGATATATAGATGTATTTTAAAATCGTGAATATCAAATTTATGTACAAAAATGCAACTCTGAATCAGCTCATTGATATCAGCTGTTTTTGACATTACGCATATGTAAATTGTTTTGAGCCGGTGATACAAAATTGGGTAAAATTGGTTACATTTGATTTGCGATGCATTCGTCGGCTAAAAAATTGCACAGAGTACTTTCATCAAGTGAAATTCGAAAAGCTTTTGTTGATTATTTTATGTTAAATCATGATCACAAATTTGTACGGTCGAGTCCCGTGGTACCATTTTGCGATCCAACTGTAGCTTTTGTTAATGCAGGAATGAATCAGGTGATTAATGTTTAATAATACTAATCATCATAAATAATTTAATAAAACATTTGTATTATTAAATTGTATAGTTCAAATCTGTATTTTTGGGCAAAACTGAACCGCCCTACAAACGTGTTACAAATTCCCAAAAGTGCGTACGAGTTGGTGGAAAACATAATGATCTTTCTATTGTCGGTCAGGATAGCTATCATCACACATTTTTCGAAATGTTAGGAAATTGGTCTTTTGGTGATTACTTTAAGGTACAAAAAAAAAACATATTTACTAATTGACATAATATTAATATTATATAAAACTAAATTTTGCTAGCGCGAAGCATGTGCTATGGCACTTGATTTACTACGAGGTCCCTATAACATCGATCCTAATCGCCTTTATGTTACTTATTTCGCTGGTGATAAGGTGCTTGGATTACCTGCGGACTTAGAGTGTTTCGAAATATGGCGTAGTCTTGGGTTAGTATTTGTGAGAGTTTGGAAAGCATTTTTAAAAATAAATACTTATGTATTTAAAAAAGCTTCCCCTCTGAACGTATATTACCATTCGGAAGTAAAGACAATTTCTGGGAAATGGGAGAAACTGGTCCATGTGGTCCATGCACCGAAATACACATAGATCATCAACCTGAACTTATAAATTCTTCAAATGATCGCGCCAAGTTGGTTAATACTGATCGACCGGATGTAACAGAACTGTGGAATTTAGTTTTTATACAATATAATAGGTAAGAAATATAGGTATATAATATATCACTCAGTAATTGCCGCGGCTAACTATTAAAAAACAATGTATATTTACGAAATTCGAATTTCTTTTAACTTAGACTCTCTCAATAGCAACACAATTCTATTCAATACAATTCTATTCTTGATTTTTTTATGCCTTTGCTATAGAAATTGCACACGAAATCTGTTTAACACTGTAGATGAGGAAGTAATTTCAAGTCTGAATTATAAAATGCGGTCATTGTTAGTAACAATTGTGAAAATAGACTTAAATATTTGCCAAGTACGGCAATTTTCTTTCTAAAGAAACTTTCTAAGAAACACAAGAAACCCAATTTAATATTGGTTGAATAGGATTTTCCTTTTTTTTCCTTTTCCATTTTTAAGATAATCCGTTAATAAAAAAAAATTGGGACATATTAAAATATTAAGCCCATAACCTTACCGATGTAACGTTGGTCTCCTTACATTTGAGTTCTGTTGACATTATTTTGTAATGCCTAGTAAATCCCATGTCATAAAATTTTTACATTATTGTTAAAAGACTATGTTTTTGTATGCTGTGCATTTACAAAAGAAAAAATATTGATTTTTTATCAATTCGTCTTGGCAATTACTGAGTGTTAATTGTGTATTGTGTCAACTAGTCTTTTCTTCAAGGAATAAAGATGGTAGCATCACACAGTTGCCAGCGCATCATGTAGATACTGGAATGGGTTTTGAGAGGCTAACAGCTATTCTGCAAAACAAAATGTCGAATTATGACACCGATCTTTTCACACCTATTTTTAATCAAATACAAAAGGTAAAATGAAATCTAACGCTTCGAATTAAAATTGCACTAACCTAATTTTAAGAAAAATAAAATTATAAATTGGAACCATTTAAAATTAAAATATTAATAGCCAAGCAAAGAAGCAAGTCTGTAAATTTCGTGTTGTAATAATTAACTCGAAAATCGTATCATCCCATGGAGAGACTATGTGCCTCTGTATATCTCTTGGCTTTCATGTTGGCAAATATTTTCTGGACTGTAATTAGACCACTCTTACATAGTTTGCTTATTGGCAAATAATTTTATTTTTTTGTTTTATTTTTGTTGGCTTATATTTTTTCTATTTTAGAATATTAAAACATAGAATATATTTTACTATATATTCGAAACTATATCTACAATTATATTTTAAAATATAGATTGAATATTTACGCTTAATTTTGGAAAACAAAAATTAGTAGTATTTTTTTTGTTTTACGTCTACAATCATATATATATGAAGTATAGAAATAAATTTAAATTATTGTTCATTCAAGGTATCAAAAGCACCAGATTATAGCGGTATATTTCCTTCTAATACAGATGAAGCAATTTTGGATACTGGTTACAGAATTTTAGCCGACCATACCAGAATGATTACTGCATGTCTCTCCGATGGCATGTTACCTGATCAGAAGTATTATCACTAGTATTAAATATATTCGCAGTAAAATAATTTATTTAATTTCAGTCAAAAACTACGTCGTGTATTGCGTAAGGCATTTACAATTTCTGAACAAACATTTGCAAATGAAAATTTAGTGGCTCAATTGGTGCCAATAGTTGTAGAAACTTTGGGATCAGCATACCCTGAAATGTATATTAAACAACATGCGGTACTGGAACTAATTGAACATGAACGTGAAGTATATAAAATTCTACGTGAAACTTCCTCAAAAGCATTTATTGAAGCGTTAACAGAATTTCCAAATTTAGAAGATATAGATTTAATGGAATGTCCTGGTTTTGTACCAGCCTATCGTGACTTACAGTCGCAAAAACCACATTTTATAAATAATACACTACCAGGAAAATTTCTTTTTAAATTACGCGATACCTATGGTTTAACTGAAGAAAATTTTCATAAATTAGCTGAATTGGAAAACATGTCTTGCGATCTTAAAGGCTATAAAGAAGAATTATGTAATGCAAAATATAAAACTAAATGCGCTATGACAAAAGTTGAAGACAATAAAAATTTATCTAAGCAATGGAAATGCATTGATGAAGTCCTGAATAGTTACACCGCACAATTACCGACCACAAATAATAGTTTAAAATATAATTACTCATATGACGCTTCCTCAAGTAAATATAACATAAACGCAGCTATAGCACAAATACAAGGCCTAACACATAACGATAGTATTGCGAATGAACTAAATATGACTAATGTAGACACAAATGATGATGTTATCTGCATAATAACTGATCGAAGTAATTTTTATTATGAATCTGGTGGTCAGCAATCTGATCGTGGTAAAGTCCTTATAAAATTAGATGATGGAAAATGCTCCGAATTGAATATTGTTGATGTGAAATTTATTAATAATTGTGTGGTGCATGTTTGTAGGCTAGAACCAACGGCTGAAAAAAATTTTTCACTTTGTGTTGGAGAAAATGTGGAACTGATTGTAGACGCAAAACATCGAAAATCAAACATCTGCCATCATACAGGTATAAAACACAATTTCTATACTAATGACGCCAGAGAGCAAAATAGTTTTTAGCTAAAATTACTAACAGGTGGCGGTTCACATGTTACTAAAACCAATTTCCAACTAAAATAATATGAAATAAATATTTTATACCATGTTTTCACTGTCTAATTTAGGCTCATTGAGCTCACTAATGTGGATAATTTACATTGCAAAGAACTTTAATATAAATGAGGTCATTATAAATAAATGAACTGATTTAAGACGAAAAATGTCAAATGCAACCCTTAAAATCAAATTACCCACATGGTAAATTACCAAAATTTAAAATATTTATCATATGTTTTATATGTTAAATGTAAAAAAAAACAAGCTATTTCAGACGCTTAATTCAGCTTACGCCAATGGCATCTTAAATTCATTGAAACTAGTTTTAGCTGCGGAAATATGATACAATTTGTTTTTTACATTATTGTTTTAGTCTTCTCTGAACACATTTGGTCGGTTCAGTGTGGCCAAGCCAATTACTTGATTACTAGTATGCTCGGGCAACAAAATGCTCAAAGCTTTAAACAGATTAGATATTATTGGAAATACTTGTATAAATATCTCAAATTAGTGATATAAAATTATTGATCATTTATTGAATATTTTTTAGCTATTTTGATTATTTCCAAATACCCATCATCAGTGGTCTTGGAATTATTTCTTGTATTTAATTATTCATAAATAATTTTTTGAAACTGCTAGTACCAGGGGTTGAACTCGTACTCTGCCAAATTTAAAGCTCAATTTAATTAAATTAATATATACTTTTTAATTAAATTAAATAAATTATTTTTAGCAACGCATTTACTAAACGGTGCTGTACGTGCACTATTTAATAAAGTTATCTATCAAGTATCAAGTGTGGTAACTGCTGATAACTGTAAACTCGAATTAGGTATTATTGGGAAAAAAATTACTAAAGACGATGTGGAAGACATAGAGGATATGATCGGGTAGGTATAACACTAACAACTATTGAGTACATTTATATTAATTTTTATAATACTTATAGACGTGTTATATGCGCATCAGTGCCAGTTGAAACTAAATTAATTAACGTTGCCGATGTATTACAAGAAAATGATATAACCATGGTACCAGGTGAAATCTATCCAGAAACTGGATTACGTTTGGTGACTGTGAATTGTAGTGAATTTAAAATGCAATCAAAAGAATTATGTTGTGGGACTCATGTCACAAATACTCAGGAGGTTGAATATTTTTGTGTCACAAATTTAAAACAAACGAATCGTGCACGTTTTGCCTTTACAGCAGTTGCGGGCAATGTTGCTGAAAATGTAACTATCTTTTTATTAACTGAAAATATAAACTTATTAAAATTTTTCATCTTTAGGTTCTGAAAACGGCAGCTTTGCTTAAACATCGCGTCGACGTGTTGGAAGAAGAATTTAAGACTGATAAAATGACAAATGCAACGGAAATCGAACTACAAAAAATACGCAACAATATACTACATACAGATATGATGCTTCCTTATAGTTTTAAGTTAGATACTTTGACACGTTTAAATGAGATCATAAAAAAAATTAAAGAAACTACACGCACAACTCTAAAGTAAGTTAAAATGAAAGTATTAAATTGTTAACTTAAATAATATATTAAAATAAATAATTATAAAAAGTAGTATAACAAATAAAAAAAAACTCATATAATATTAATTGTCTTCTGAATATTTATAGAGAATTTGTAGAAGTGGAGATGAAGAATCTTATACAGGAGAAACCTATTGAAACACATCCTTATATTTTGCATTACATACATAGTTCAGCGTTAATGGAAGCAGTGCCACTGCAAAAAGCAACTAAAATATGCAATGATCGTCCCGTTTTAGTCATAAGTATGTGCGATAATATACTCAGGGCACGTTGTTGTGTGCCAAAGGTAAAATATCATTATATTCTATTAAAATATACAACTCTATTAAACATTATATTTTTAGAAATATATTAACAAAAATTTTAATGCCGAGAATTGGTTAAAAGAATTTGCCACTGAATTTTCGTCCCATGTGATGACTCCCAAAGGACAAAATGCAGCACAAGTTTCTAATATGAAAGGAAAAAAGGTCTCTACACAGTTTGAAGAACAATTAGAAATCGCAATGGCAAAAGCGAATAAATTTGCTAAAAACTACATATTATCTAATAACTAAATGCCACTCAAAAATGTACTCTCAAATGTAAATTGTTTATATAAATTATTTTAAAATTAATATAATTGTAAATAAGTAAGTTTTGAAACCAAAAATGAACACAATATTTTTTTATCTAATCGCTAATTTCTATGCAATTTTCTTCAGCTGTGTTGACATAACTGTGATCCATTACTTTTTCAAATTCATCCATATCAAGTGATTGTTGACAATCAAAGAAATAAGATCTATTGTTTTCTCTGTTTTCGTTTTCCATAATATCAATATCTAATGGCTTCATTTTATTTATTGTGTCTGTGTTGTTGAATTTGGAACAATTTTCCATTGAGATGTTATCAAAATTATCATTTAATGCTATTAAATTCTTTAGTTTATTGGTTCCTTTATTTACTAAAATATCGAAGCTATCGTCCATAGTCTGCAATTTTGGCATTTTTGTATTTTTCTGTAGAGTATTTGAAATGGTTATGCGACGTTTATGAACTAATATGTCTAAATCATCGATATCTAAACTTTGTTCTTTCAAAACTAAGCTAATATTTTTTGTAATTGGTTCATAAAATAAACAACGTCCACCGTGGGTTTTGATATCCTGTTGAATATTTTTGTGTACAATACCATTTACTATATCCGACATATCGAAGACTTCGTTATCAGAATCACTGTCCAAATCAGAGGGTAGTAGTTTATTAAGTGGTGTTGAACATTTTAGTGCATTATTATTATGACACTTTATAGGAGTGCATTTTATCGAAGTATCTAGCTTTTTAAAGAACTTATTTATTAATTGTAGTCCTTTTGGTTGTGGTGCCTTTTTAGGTTTGATTTTCATTGCAATATCATTTGTAGCATTAACTAAATCCTGTAAGTTTTCTAGTGAACCTAAAGGATTTTCTGCAGTTGCTATTTGCTTTACTCTTTTAACTTTTTTGGGCACTTTTGCTGGTTTTTCTTTAGATTTGTTAAATGCTTCAACCATTTTCACATATGCAATATTCAACATACTTAAAGGTTCTATCGTAGTCCACAATTCGTCAATACCTTTAGAATGATCTTTAACAAACTCTTCTAACTGATCATTCGGTATTAGTCCTGTAAAAATATTTCGAGCATCTGTCCAAATTACTTCTAAGCTTGGTACTCCTTTAACCATACGTTTTTTTACAATTTCCTTGAGTTCAACATAATTAATTGCGTCTGTTCCCCGCAGCCGATTCGCATTTTGTACCTGCCAGCGCGTTAATATTGGGAAAAACTTTTGAAAACAATAAATTTCTGGCCACTGTAACAAATGACCAATTTTTTTAATAAATTTTACAATATTTGGCTGCTTCCAAGACAAATTAAGTGTTGGTATTTCATTCGGTTCTGACAAGAATTCATTTATGATTTCCTCGTTTGGAAAATCAGCATCGTTTAAAGCTTTTTTTCTCATCGCTAGCTCCGCTTTAATTGATAAACGTTCTTCTCTGTTATAATAAAGAAAATTTACAATATTTACATTTGAAATAAAAAATTGAAAAACTCACTTCCACAAGCTTTCATCACAGCCACGTTTTGTTCGGCACACACCACACCCATTCTTCGTGTGACTTTGTGTGCGACCCATGTGACCACAATTGACGCATATGCTCTTATCATCTACGCGCATTTCCAGCGCAGTATATTTACTATTATCGCGACGCCAACAACGTAACCTGTAGCAATCGTTTAATTATACTACTAAGCTTAGATTTCAAATTCTATTATATACCTTTCTAGTATTTCTGTTTCCTTATATTTATTAAAAAGTTTTAATACACCATCACGTCCTATGCCACCAATGCCATCAGGACAATAGTCGCAACCGCAAAGTAGCGCCATTGCAATAACCTTGTGCTGACCAAAATCTAATATAAAATATTTTTTATTTTTTTTAACTTTTGCTATACGATTATATTATGTTCTAATTTCTTACCAAGTTGTTTGCCAATTTCATGTATATCGTATATATCAACAGCACCTCCTTGTGCTGCTTGAGCACCTTGTGTGGAAACAGAAAAATTTCTGAATACACGAATAGCGCCATAAGCAAAACAATCAGAATCTTGACTTATAACACCATCTACTAACTAAGTATATAATATTATCTGAATGAGTATGTTTCCATATATTTACTTACTCCCACTTTATTTAAAAAAGCACAATACGCTTCTGCTTCTCCCGGACCTTGAACACACTGAACTCCCATAGCATTCAATAAGGATTCGCATTGTTTCAAAACGTGATTAAACCGTGTGCGTCCCTTGTCCTTTTGGGAGTTTGTTGACTGTGTTGAATCTGTTTTTTGACTAAGATTATCTTTGTCTTTAGGTCTTACTCCTCTAAATTGTATTTCATTGCGTTTTTCAATTACTTGACTCTTGAGTTTCGGTGCTGTACCTTCTAACACAAATACCGGTGTAACATCCTCCCAAATTAGATAGCAAGTGCGAAAAAATAAATTTCTAAATTGAATTTAATATTATTTCTTAATATTTTATTTTTTAAATTATTATTACTTTAAATGATGGCGCGGATGCACAAAATAGTCCACAACATTAAGACTTTCACATACCCAACCAGCTAAGTCAATTGCCACAGTTTTCCCGCGCAGCTCCGAAATTGGTTTACGGCTTGCGTGAGGTGTGAAAACTGACCATAAATCCTTTACGCCCATAATTCGAATTATCACAAAATAAACATTTTTTTATGGAAAATTCAAACACTCTTCATCATATATTGTATTTTAAACTTGCGTGAAAATGCCCGCGTATATGCGTTTATGCGTATTTCTTAGTTTTATTTTTTTCATTCATGTCAGATTTTGACAGATCGTTGAGGTTACTAAAAAATTATGGGAGGGAGATATGGAATTTATTTATATAAATTTATTTCATAATTACAATTATTTAGAATTTATATAGAGAATTTATTTATATAAATTTATTTCATACAATTTGTATTTAATTAAATATAAATCAACATGAAGGATTTTGGGTCTGTTATATATACAAAGATCGTGATATTTATGGAGTTCTTGGTATAATATTTATAAGTTGACATGGATTTTAATAAAGGATAATTTGAGAAATCTATTCTATTCAACTAAATACATCTGTAGTAAAATATATGCAATCATTGCAAAACAAAACTAATGCTTATTACAATATAATAGTTCCATTCACTTAGCGTATGGAAATTAAAGTATAATAAAGTATAATATAGTATTATATATAATAGTAGTATAGTATACAAAGTAATATTATAAATAAAACATTGAAATAAAATAGAGTTGCGGATAATAATTACATAGTATTATATTGTATGATTGCGGGATTATTGACCGGTTACTGTAGATTGAAATATCACCTAACGAAGTTAGTAATTCAATCCAACTCAGACTGCTAATAATGTAGAGAAGAGAACGAAACTACATACCATGTGCTTGGGGAGTGCCCGGCACTGATGCACAAGTAGAAGAAACACCTAGGAGGATATTTTATGGACGATAAGGAAACAAGACTAGGAAAGATAGGTTCTATACTATCTTTCATTAAAAAAATCGAATTTGGAGAAATACTCTAATCCGACTAAGGGGCACAGTAGATCTTATAGGTAGGTCGCAGTGCCTTATCCCTTCTTTTCAATAGTAATAATTATAACAATAGTGTATGATCTGCCTAATTCCATAAATTCCAGATCATTTACTGTAATGCATATAGGTATGTGTTCATCATTGACAAAATTTGATTATTAACGGAAATCGATTATTTGTTCCAAGTACGACCGGAAGTATGACCCGGAGCCACTTGTCGTTATCGTCGACAAAATGCTGTTCGACACCTCCAAAAGGGACTTCATAAGCAAGTCCCAGCGGGCTACAAATACAATAACAACTATTTGTTCATTCCAAAGTAGCAAGGATTCTTCGTTCGACTCAGTCTAGTTTCAATTATAACCCATCAACTTCCTCATTCCTTCACTATATGAAACACGCATTCTGTTCTCTCTATAAATATCTTCAAAATATCTTCAATCACTTCCTAACTCATGGATTTGTTTTCCGTTTATGTTTTCTGCGATATAAGTATTACAAAAATTACAACTTGTTCACTCTTACCAGAGCATATGTCGCTTTAAGCTCAATTTCCTAATTTCTATAAGTTTCATTTCTATGAGTTTCAAAGTGAACTCAGCTTGCCTTAAGATTTTAATTTGAGAAATATAAGTATAAAGTTTTAAACTCATTTTGTGGAAGATGCTGTTTTTCTATTAAAACTAATACTCATCTGTAGTACCCTTAAGATTATTATATAGTCTATTGTCCAAATATTGGTAACAATAAAATATTTTTAAAACTAATTTAAAAAGTTTTATTATTAAACTATTTTTTTTCCAATCTTATACCGGGTTTGTACACAACAATTTGAAGCAAAAGTTTACGGAGAGCACGACGGACAAAATGATATGGATTATCTCTATCTTCTAATATTAACTTGCGTTCTGTATTTACAGAAAATATAGGTGTGATGTATTTCATACATAACTTTTTGAAAATAACAGATACTTTATATTGCCAATGCAATTATACAGACACATGAATAAACTGAAACTTAGTCGAGAAGTCCTATACTAATAGCGACGAGAACCCCCAGAAATACATAGTATTTAGTAATTCTTTCAACAAGAATCAACTGCGGTATTACATTGATAGATTATATTTATAATAATAGCTTTAAAGTTTGACTTTTTTTAAAAGTATTAACGAAACTTTCCTTTGCCATTAAAATTTTAAATTGCAGTCATCTTATATATATAATTCTTCTGTACGTGTGTTGACAGTGAACTCCTCCTAAACGGCTGAACCGATTTTGATAAAATTTTTTGTGTGTGTTCAAGTGGATTCAAGGAAGGTTTAGATTCACAATTTGGCCCATTGGATAATGTCTTTTTAATCAATTTTTTATTTTTTGGTATCCATAAATGTAATATTAAAAATTTAAAATTTATTCATGCTTACTTTGATTTGTTTAAAAACTTTAAAATCTCTAAAATGAATTGTAAAACTGACGTTGCATAGCTTAAGTGCATTTAAATTCCGCAGCATAATTATAGGTGAGCCAATTTTTAATCTTAAGTTATGTGGTGGTATTCCTGGTAAATCCAGCGAATTCAAAAATTCAACACACAAAAAAGAAGAATTATATATATAAAGATATAAATATCGTACAAAAAACAATGCCACGTCTTCGTGGACGAGGAGGAAATATTGGTCGACGGACTCGGAATTCACAATTACTCCAGAACCGTCGGTTAAATAGATCGGCAGAAAACAATGAAGATGTAAGAAACCAGGATACAATTACACGTGCTAATGAAAGTCAATAGCAACGCAACGAACGCCAGAAAAATTAATTGCAAGGGGAAACAACGTTCGCCGGGTCAGCTAGTATTTTATAAAAATAATTACAATTAAAAATTTAAATACTACATTTTATTAACACAATTTTTATCACAATGTTATATATGAATTAATTATATTTCTAGTACTTAACTAATATTTGATGTACGTAAATTGATAAATGCTTTATAACACTTTGTTAAGAACTGAATTACTTTTAAATAAATTAATTATAATGTCAAACATAAATTAATTGTTTTTAATATTTTGATTAGGAATACTTTGATTTATGTTATATGCATTTATTATTTAACTAGAAAATGGTCTAGCGTTTTTTTCCAGCATTTGAAGAATTTTAACCTTTACTTCATTTTGCTTAGCAACGGGCATCTTGTTAAGTAATGAGGCCTCTATATCAAAAAATGCTTGATGTTCACTTTTTACTTGTAGTTTGTCTGTTATTGTTTTCAGTGAAGTCATCAATTCCTTGATATCATCACAAGCTACTGTCTTTTTCTCCTGACTATATGATGTGGATGATGCTGGAGTGTTACTAATGAAGGCAAATGACGTTGGCTCATTTATGGTGGATGGTGATGGGGTAGTTCTGTCAAAGGCATATGATGTGGTTTGCTCATTTGGGCTGGAAGGTGATGGAAAAGTACTACTATTGTATCTAAATACTTGTACTTGATTTTTATCTGGTATGGAATTGTCATCGTCTAAGCTGGATAATTGTGGAGAATGTCTATTCAATTTGAATGCTTCAACTTGATTTTTATCAGAATTTGAGTTATCATCTTCAGTATGCGGTGATGATTTAAATTCATATGACTGAGTTAAAAACGTTGGAGATTGCAAAGACGTGTTTGCCATTTTAAATCGTGTGCTAGAACAAAAAAATATATATATATTTATTCATATGCATTTATAACAGTTGTTTTTGAAATGTATTTTTCCCTACTTTCTGTGTTTTATATGTCCGGATAAAAATTGCAAATGTGGCATATACTCCCAGTTTTGTGTTGATCGAATACCGTTACGTTGCTGCGATTCAATCTTTTGCTTCTCGCGCACATAACGATCCCGAATTACACGCCATCTAATCTGACAAGCTTCCTCTGAAAACGAATTCAATTATTTTTCTTTAATATTACATTATTATCTTACTAGGAATGTCCATTGCGTTTGCTACAGTCACCCATGCCTCATCCCGTAGTTTCTTCTTTTTTAATATAGTTGTACATTTTTCATATAGCACCGTATGCTTTTCTATTTCATTTATTAAACTTTCATCGCTTATTAAATAACTGTTTTCTTTCTGCAAAAAGAGTAAGACATTTTTTTACTATAAATAGTTTTAATGCTTATATCTTTAATAAATATATTTACCATTGGATTTATTCTCTTTTACTTAGTTCTGCACAAATTTAATGTTTTGATTTACAAAATGTTTTGAATTTATGTTTTTAATTTCAATATAATTCGATGTTCCAACATAAGCAAAGCATAAATAACGTTTTTGCGTTTATACGTTGAATATTTCAAACAAAAACTAAATTATAATGTTGCGTTTTTGCGTTTTGCAAATTAATAATTGTTTACAATTTTAATATGAATATTATAGCACTGCCAAGCTAAATATATATAACAAAGATTATTAATTTTTATTCACATATATATTTTATTTAGTTCTCATTATTATATAACACTTTATATTAAAAAAAAATATTTATAATCAAAATAATTTTATTATAATTATAAAAAACTATCAATATGACATATTGATAGAATATTTTAAAATAAAACGTTTTGATAAAAATTTATTTTAGTCTGGCAACATATTCAACGCACGAAACGCAAATAAAAACCGAAAATTGTTTTAATATGTGCATTCGTTGCATACTACATAGCTCGCAACATTTACTTTTTAGTCGTATTAATATAAAAACATTTTATTTCAACCAAAAAGATAATAATAATAAATTTTATTATTTCAACTTCATTGTCAATTTTAGTACGCACTGAATATAGATTTCATAATTTAATATTACGAATGCAACCATGTTTGTACTAAAAGTAATAAGTTTAGTACAAAAACAAACTGTAGAACGCAACGCAGAACATGAAAGTAATTTTTGTTTTAAATAGAAATAAATAAATTTATATAATAAATAGAAAATTATAAAACTATAATGATGGCGCGGCGTGGTGGTAAACGTATACGTATGGATGATCCACCGCCGGAATATGAAGAAGGACTACAAGGGTAAATATACTAGATTACTTTGGGCGGGAATCAATAACAACAAAAATATTTTCTTTTCATATAAGAGACCAATTGAATGAAAGCATTTCTGATGGAGATAGTCCAACAAAACGTATGACACGTTTACGTGCAAGAGGTGGCGTTCGCGATAAACCACCTATTATTGATGATGACGAGGATGATTTCTATGCACCAGTGGTGCGTAAAAGAAAACAGCCAACACAACGTAAGCCACCAGGCGAAAAACGTGAGCGTGCTGAGCGGCCACGAAAAGAACACGCTGAAAAGGAACAGGAGCGAATTGATATTGAACGCGATGTTACCACAGATGAAAATAGTTTATATTTTATAGTCCGCCATTCCAAGGCAGCAATAGCCGTAAGTGTACTGTGTGATATGTAGAAATATTTTTATTGACTGAACTCATTTTTAGAGCATTGTTGACGATTGGATAGAACAATATAAACAGAATAGAGATTCGGCTCTTATTTCGCTAATGCAGTTTTTCATCAACGCTAGTGGTTGCAAAGGAAAAATATCATCTGACATGCAACATCCAATGGAGCACACTGCTGTCATACGTAAAATGACTGAAGAGTTTGATGAGGTTGTGCTTGCATACCTACATATAAATGTTATAAAATCTGATAAGTTCTTGTGTTATATAGGAAAGTGGTGAATATCCTTTAATAATGTCGGGTCTGCAATGGAAAAAGTTCAAAATGAATTTTTGTGATTTTGTGCAAACGCTTGTAAAACAGTGCCAATACTCCATAATATATGATCAATTTTTAATGGATAATGTTATATCACTTTTAACTGGGTTGTCGGACTCTCAAGTGCGAGCCTTTCGTCACACAGCAACATTAGCAGGTTTGTTGTTACTAATAATTTTATTACAATAAAACCAAATCAATGAAAATATTTTTAATATAGCCATGAAGTTGATGACGGCCCTAGTGGATGTGGCACTTTTAGTTTCTAATAATTTTGACAATGCGGCTAAGCAGTACGAGGCGGAGAGAGTAAAGGTAATGCAATGCAATTTTATTTACACATGAAAATTATAATAAACTATATTTCAGTCACGTGATCGTCGTGCTTCAGACCGTTTAGAGTCCTTAATGGCAAAGCGTGCTGAATTGGAAGAAAATATGGATGAAATAAAGAATATGTTAACATACATGTTTAAATCCGTCTTTGTGCACCGTTATAGGTAATTTCATTATCTGCATCATATTGACATTTAACTTATACTGTTTCACTTTAAACTAGAGATACGTTGCCTGACATACGTGCAATTTGTATGGCGGAAATTGGGGTTTGGATGGAAAACTATCCACAAAACTTTTTAGATGACTCTTATCTTAAATACATTGGTTGGACTCTTCATGACAAAGTCGGCGAAGTGCGGTTACGTTGCTTACAGGCGTTATTACCGCTTTATGATAAAATTGAGTTAAAAGGCAAATTGGAGTTGTTCACCTCAAAGTTTAAAGATCGTATTGTTGCGATGACACTGGACAAGGAGTTTGAAGTTGCTGTACATGCAGTCAAACTTGTTATAAGCATACTAAAGTAGGTGGTGAATAAACTATTTAAATTATTCATATTTTTATTATATATATTTTAGAATACATCCTGACATACTGGCAGATAAAGATTGTGAAATTGTTTACGAACTGGTGTATTCTTCTCACCGGGGCGTTGCACAAGCTGCTGCAGAATTTCTTAATGTACGTCTATTTCATTTAACTGCTGATATGGAAGAGTCGAAAACCAGACGCGGAAAATTACGATTACCCAATACACCGTTAGTACGCGATTTAGTACAGTTCTTTATTGAATCTGAACTGCATGAACACGGTGCTTATTTGGTTGATTCATTTATAGACAGCAATCCGATGGTCAAAGATTGGGAATGTATGACGGACTTATTGTTAGAGGAACCTGGCATTAATGAAGAAGTTTTAGATAACAAACAGGAGTCTACATTAATAGAAATAATGGTCAGTAGTGTTAAACAATCAGCAACTGGTGAGGCACCGGTTGGGCGTGCAAGCAATCGTAAAGTCACACTGAATTCAAAAGAACTAAAAGCAATACAGGATGAAAAAACTAAATTAACTGAACATTTTATTATAACATTGCCACCTCTATTAGAAAAATATCAAGCAGACAGTGAGAAATTGACAAATTTACTTGCTGTTCCACAATATTTCGAATTAGATATTTACACTACAAATCGACAGGAGGCTAACTTACAAGCATTATTAGACAAAATAAGTTACATAATGTCAGTGCATACAGATCGTGAGGTACTCGAAGCATGCTCTAAAACGCTTGAATATTTATGTACAGAGGGTAGTGCTACGTATACTCGTTGTGATGTGGCGCGTTCAAATATTATTGATACAACCGTAAACAAGTATAAAGATTCCATTGACGATTGGCGTACGATTATTGCAGGTTTGTAACATTTCTAAAAAAAATAACTGTTTGATATTAATAAACTTTATATATTTCTAAAGCTACGGACACACCAAATGAAGATGAAATTCACAATGTGATTATATCATTGAAAGTTGTATCTATATTATTTTCATCACACAACTTAAACCCTTGGAGTTTGTTTGACTCACTATTTCAAGATGTGGACGAAATCCAATCAAAGAATAGCGAAGAAGTACATATACCTAGTGAAGCAATTGTGTATTGCATAGAA